CCGCTCGTTTTTGTTAAAGAATGTTTGGAATGCTCTTCAGAGTTGGATCAGGAGTAGTCAACTCGAATTTTTTATCTATTTTATCCAATCTTCATACTGTTGTCGGATCATTGCTTTGAACGGTGCATTCCAAGAAACATCAGCAGATTGCATCAGCAGGTTTTGTCACGGCACGTAGACTCAATCCAAATTGATCTTCTGCTCCTTTTGTAAGCCTTTTGTAAGCCGCATGTTGATCCCGTCCATGTTGATCGCATGTCGCATGTAAGCAGAAGCGACCGCTCGTTTTTGTTAAAGAACCCAAGTCCTTTGAAAGTTAGCTTCAAGAATTCCTTTGTGATTCGAAGCCCTTGTTTTTCTTTTCTTTCCAACAAAGCAATAATTTTGATTGAAATTTTGAATGAATATTTTGAATGAATATTTTTGTCCAATGTTTTTCTCGGCATCACCACAAATGCTTTTAGTTTCTTTCCGTTAGATTTTCCTGCTATTTTTTCTTACCGCCTCTATGGTGCCCTTCTATTAGAGGTGCCCTTCAATTACAGCAAGTGAAATTCTTAATAACTTATCAGAAGCAAGGCGGGTTTTTAACCAAGATTGTACTAAAGATTTGGCACAATTTTCTTCAAAACGTCACCATGTTCGAATAGAACATCCGATCCGCTTAAGAAAAACTTAGTCACTCAGATCTCCTTCATCTTTCAAAAACTTAATCACTCAGATCTCCTTCATCTTTCACATCCGATGTAATTCCATTTTCAGCATTCAAATGAGAAAGATGACGATGTAAAGACGGGAAAAAAAGAGATGAACAAGGTTTATGCGTGAGTGGGTGATATCAGATATGGAAGTCATCACCCTCTTCATTCCTTTTAATGGATGACAAGACACAACCCCTCCTCTCCTTTCTTTTTCTTCACCTCCTTCTTCACCTCTTTCAATACCTCCACCCCCAAACAATTTATCTTCTCCTCCTTTTCTTTGATTAATATTTTTGTGAAAAATTTATGGAGTAGCTTTCTCACTTCCTCGTGGTTTCACTTCTTTACTTTACAGTTTTTTGGTGATACTTTATGATTGGTGATTGGTGATTAGAGCTTGTTTAGTCAAGCTTTAATCGATTGGCTTAATGATTAATGCTTAATGCTATAAACCTTAGCTGTCAATAGCTGGCCTAGGCTCACAATCAGATCAAAACCAATTATTTTAGGTTGAATCTTTCACCAAAATTCATTTTCTAATTGAATAAGTCACAAGCTAACAAATGAAATACTTTTTCATTTCTTTGAAGTTCTTTGTGCACGCCTCTAGTTCCATCGCTTTCCATATATAAAGCCATAGGGCAATGTTGAACAACCGTCATCAATTCCAACGGGTGGAGGCCAGTAACCTCCCGGTGGATCAATGGAAGCTTCTAATTTCATTTCTTTCTTTGAATTTAATTTTTAAAGTGTGTTTTTCCAATAAGAAATATGTGATTGTTAGTGCCCAATCTAATCTTTGCCACCATAAGCTTATCTTTCTAAAGCTATTCAGAAACAAGTCGATGTGGGTCGATCAACAAGCCGATCAACTATCTGGCTTTGTTTTGTTGAAGTAAACAAAATTACTGGTCTGACTTTCTACAATTTCTATAATTCTATAGCTTTCTATAGTTGACTTAAAGCTTCTAGGCTAACCATAAGCGTTCCAGGTGGCTTTTGACTTATAATCTGGCTCTGATAGCATTCCTTGTCTTGATCTTGTCTTGTCCCAGCTTTATACTCTTTTTAAGAAATCAACAAGTCCACCAGGATCAGATTACCGTGTATTTAGAATATGCGTTTTAGTATTAGGTCAACTTACTGTCGTTTTAGGTAGCCAACTTCCTCAACTGTCTTATTTCCAATTCATACGATTCTCTGTCTATTTTTAGGCAACCATTTGATGCTTCTATTCAATTGTTCCAAATCCTAACCCTCAAAAATATCACTCTAGTCTAAGGTCTTTGAGAATGTGGTCATTTGGATCTTAGCGGCCTCCTTGTAGGCTGATTTTAGTGTCGTCCTGTGGTACAGGATTCGTTTCCAGGTCCAGACCTCGCAGGTTCAATCCCCGCCTCGGATTTTCTTTTGCTTCTTTTCAAGAAGTGCAAGAAGTTCTTTGTGCACACATCTAGTTTAGTCTAGTTTTTCGCATCTAGTTTTTATTTAGCCAACTTTCTCATCTGTCTTATTTCCAATTCATACAATTCTGTATCTATTTTTAGGCAACCATCTGAGGCTTCTATTCAATTGTTCCAAATCCTAACCCTCAAAAATATTTATCACTTCCACCCAACGATCTCATGTTGATCTCATTTTTGGAAAAATGTATTGCTGGATTGAATCCAGCTTAAGCCAAATCTCAATTAGGGAGGGGATCTCGATTTTTTCTTTCGGATCAAGTAAATAGGGAAACAATGGAGCTAATTTTGAGCTCGCCTTTTGTTTTCTGGATTGAGGGTGTTGTCAGAATGGAGATTTCCCCGTTCAGAGTTCGGATTACTGATTTCGCTTGGCTTATTTCTAGTTAGAGATCCAATTTGGTACTTTAAACGACGATTTGCACTTTGTATCTTCACGGAGATTAACAGTGAACTCAAATTTTTATGGGTATCCTTGGTTTCTCTTGGTAAACCTGTCCAAAGCTTGGTTTAGATCTAAAAGTACAAAATTCAAAGGTGTAAAAGGCTAAAAATATTGTATTTTGAAGGATTTGAAGGATTTGAAGTATTTGAAGTATTTGAAGTATATATTGAAGTTGATAAACTTATTGAACTTCTTTTCAACCCCAGAATTTAACCTTTCCAATCTTCAATGCTAGTACATTGCTTATGATTCTCAGCAATCATGCAGACATTTATTCAATTATGTCTTTCCAATATCAGAGTCGAATCTTTCACCTGCACAAAAAAAGGGAGGAGCAGAGGATGAAAATACGGAGATGAATTGCAAATGAAGGGCCGGCTTGGGGCGGTCTAGAGTCCCGCAAAAGTTTGATTTTATTATTTTCAGCAGCGAGAGATTGATTTGTTTCAAGTCCAATCTTTCAGTTGCTTTTTGAAGTTGCAGTAATTCCAAAAGTCATTGCTTTCTTGATATCATTGAATCTTATTCGTTATACTAAACTTGTAAGGAAAACATCTGGCGTTCCTCTTTGCCGTTGGCAATTTAAGGTTTTTCGTGTTTTTTTCAGCACCAACCCTTTGATTTTGACTATTTTGACTATCATTTGATGTAGAATAAAATTGTGCGTCGAATCATACCAAAATTAACTCAAAATGGAATATCTACGCAAAGTTATGGGGCAAAAGGTTAGGTCCCGCCCATAATGAGTGGAGTTTAGGTTTTTAGCTAACAACTTTGCGTAGATATTACATTTTGAGTTAATTTTGGTATCATTCGACGCGCAATTTTATTCTGCATCGAGTGATAGTCGAAATAGTCAAAATCGAAGGGTTGGTGCTGAAGAAAACTTGAGAAACCTTAAATTGCCAACGGCAAAAAGGACCGACTGATGTTTCCGTTATAAGTTTGCATTGTGCCAACCAGCTTGAACTAGGGATTCTTTGCCAGGGTTCGGTTTTCAAGTGTACTACCTGGTAACTTACTATTGCAGCATGATCTCGAGTAATTTGTTTTCTAAAAGACATCTATGAAAGAACTACCGTAAATACTGTAATAGTACCCGACCCCCTAATGACGGTGCGGAGTGTTGCGTAGTCTAGCTTTGGACGCGTTTTTCTCGACACTGTCTTATGCTACAATGAGCGCTTAGGTATCAAAAAATAGCTGAAATTCAGGGCTATTTTTTGATACCAAAGACGCGTTTTTTGAAAGTACGGGTGCTTTGAAAAAAATGAAATACTAAAAAACTTTTACGACTACGCGACTGTACGAGGGGTGTTCAATTACAGTATTTACGGTAGTTGTTATTCAATTAGTCCAATTTTTGGTTCATTCAGAGAAATCACAAAGCTTCGTTGATAACAAAACTGGTTCGATCGAATGTTTCAGCTCTCTTCTTTCTATTTTCTCACTTCTGAATTGAAATCCGCCAACTTTCACTTCTCTAGATATTTTTAAACCAATAAATCCATTGCTCTTTATTCTAGTCTCAGTGCAAAATTTCTGCAATTTGATAACTAACACTCAAGTCTGTCATAACAGGGATTTACTGCTGTTGGCCACTTGGGAATTCCAAGTGACTTGTTGAGAGAAGACTTTAGAATTTGAGAACTAGAGAACTGAGAACTAGAGAACTAGAGAACTTTAGAACAATTCTAGATTCAACGTTAAATACTAGAGTTTATCAGAAAATTCTTTTTCATACAATTTTTGTTATGAGTAACAAATTAACTAAACCGTAACCTAAATCTTGTTAGTAACCTAAATTTTCGATCACTAACGAGGCTTTCTACAGATGAAACTGTAGCTATGAGTAACAAATTTGATTGGCATAATTAGTGCCACGAATTTTCCCAAACTTCAACTATTTTTTGGGTCATCCAATTTCCCATCCAACCGGCTTTTTTTGGAATTGATTTTCAGCTGAAATTGATGACGATTGTGAACTTATTGAACGAATACAGCTGCTTTTCACTTCACAAAACTTTACAGCATTACTTTTGTAGTAAAAAGGAAAGCCTTTGCTTTTTGTTTTCAAGAAAAATCAGTCAAAATTCTTGATCTTTTTTGTGATAAATTTCTGAATCAATCTTCTATTCTTAAAGAAATTCGAGAATCTATCATTTCCAAGTGAATTCTCCATTTTCTTATGCTAAAAACTAGGAACTGGGTTTCTCAGCGATTTTTTCACAAACGAGATCAAGAAAGAGCCGCCAACCTCATGAAAATTTCACATTTCCAAAGAATTTTCTTTGAAAAAAATCTTTTCTGATTCAAAACATCTTTTTACAAGATTTCTAGATTTACATTAATTCAAATTCTAGGGGAATTCACAAAAATAATATGGCTAGAATGAGCTGTTCTGTGTTGAGATGGCTTCTCGTCTTGCTCGCCCTCACAGCTTTCGCCGCCGCTTCACTACAAGACGACTACTTGAGGTTATTGATACAAAGTGAGTTTTGGTCAAAGAGCACACAACATATTAACAAAACTTGATGAAAACTATATTGTAACCGTTTAATTGAACAAGCCTACAGTAACAAGGCCTTTATTGGTCTGAAATTTGAAGCTGAAGAGTTATGCTGATAACGCTGAAGAGGTATCAAGTTGGAAACGAAGCTAGGAAAAGATTAGAACAGCTTTTCCGATTGAAATGAATGTTTAATTAGATCTAGTATCTAGTAAACTGCTGTAGAAACAGATAAATCTAATCCTATTCAAAGATATTCCAAACGGAAACTTCTTATATTAGGTTGGGGATAAAGTTGTCACCGATTTTTTTGCAAGAAGGTCTTAAACTGATCGGATTTTTGGGGGTCTTAAACTGACCCGATTTGTTTATTTAATAGCTCATTCGAAAGCTAATTATCTAGCAGATTTAATCGAAAATACCGTTTGTCAATTCATCAACTTTCAAAGTTTTTGCAGTCATTTTACTGAGGTGCCTTTGACCCAAAATTTCAAAAATTTCAAAAATGGACTTTTTGGTATAGAAAAATGGACTTTTTGTATGGAAACCTGTGCTAAAACCATGTTTTTCGGCATCAGCGTTAAAACCTACCCTAGTATGCAATAAAACTGTCTTTTTAGTAAGAATTTATTTTTAAAACTGACTTGACCCGGAATTGAACCCTCGACCCTCAGATTACTATACAACCTTTGTTTCTTCGATGCTTTTCGCACCGATCTGCCTCCGTAAAACAACAAAGTAACAAATTTTAACAAAAAATGTAACATAAACAAAAGAAATATAAATGCTAAAATGTAAAAAAATTAAGAAAACAAAAAAAAATTTTGAAAAAATTTCATGTGGTCCCCCACATGGATTTTTTTGGGAGATTTTTTTTATGGGATTCAGGAAAGCAAATAATTTCACTTTTAAACACGTTTTTGATTTGTTTTGAGCTAAGGGCTATCGTTTAAAATAGTTTTTAACAATTTAAAAACTTTTGATTCATGTGACTCTTACCCCTTTTCAGCCGGCCGGTTTTGGGAGGTTGAAAAATAGAAGACCATGGTCTTCTATTAGAATAAGTCCGGTAGAATAAATCAGACCTAGACCGGGGCCAAGTCCGGACTACGTTTTTGGAAATCATTTTAGATTTTAGACTAGATCTAGATCTATAAGTAGCCAAGAATTAGACTCGGGAGAATTAGACTTAACGTCGGGTCATGAACTAGCCTAGCTAGCTGGTTTTTGAGCAAGTCTTTGCTTTGTCAGCAAATTCATTCAGAATAAAGTCTCAGACTAGATTCAGACTAAAGAATCAAAGACTTACCTCTGTACTCCCAAGTTCCTTTACTTACTCACTTCCAAGTTCTTTGCTTACTTCCAAGCTCCTTTACTTACTTCCAAGTTCCTTTACTTACTTCCAAGTTCCTTTACTTACTTACTTCCAAGTTCTTTTACTTACTCACTTCCAAGTTCCTTTACTCAAAACCAAATCTCAACGTTACCTTCGTTCTGCTAGTTCCTGATCTTCGAAGACACAAATTACCCTAATACTTTCATTCACTCTCACACTTTTTCCTAGATTAATATTTATCAACCCACTAAAAAACTCTTCATTCTTCCTCCTACCCATTTTTTTCCCATTCTAATCTCCCGTTTACATAATTTCCTCTACTCGAGACTTTGTTTTCTCATTGAGTGAATGGGAGTTCGAATGAATTCAATTAACACAACTATTTATAGAAGAATCACTGAATTTCATAGATGAAAATAAAATAATTCATTTCGAATAATTATTTTTACTCCCCGTATAATGAAGTGTTACGTGGCAAGGCAAATTCTGTGTTTTTCTCAAAGATTTTTCAGAGGAACGACCAAAAATCTGTGTGTTGATAGAGGAAATGCTTTCTAGGGGATTACGGGAAAAAAAATTTAGAATCGAAATTTTCTTAGAATATGGCCAAATGTTGCATCTTTTTAATCCAGATTTTCGTTGCTTTGCAAAAACGGGTAATTGAACACTTGCAACGCTAAACTATTAAGTTTTCCAGTTACAAATGAGAAAAACTTTAAGAGTGTCCAGTTTAAGATAATAACTCTTTATTTTACAAGCAACAGGCTAACAGCTCAATTAATCTATTCATCATTTGTCAGCAATATTTGTTAATTGAACAAGCCTACAGTAACAAGACCTTTTTTGGGTCTGAAATTTGGAGCTGAAGAGTTATGCTGATAACGCTGAAGAGTTGTCAAGCTGGAAACGAAGCTAGGAAAAGATTAGAACAGCTTTTCCGATTGAAATCAATGTTTAATTAGATCTAGTATCTAGTAAACTGTTGTAGAAACAGATAAATCTAGTCCTATTCAAAGATATTCCAAATTAGGAAACTTCTTATATTAGGTTGGGGATAAAGTTGTCACTGATTTTTTGCAAGAAGGTCTTAAGCTGATCCGATTTGTTTGTTCAATAGCTTATTCGAAAGCTAATTATCTGGCAGATTCAATGGAAAATAACGTTTGTTAATTCATCAACTTTCAAAGTTTTTGCAGTCATTTTACTGAGGTGCCTTTGACCCAAAATTTCAAAAATTTCAAAAATGGACTTTTTGGTATAGAAAAATGGACTTTTTGTATGAAAACCTGTGCTAAAACCATGTTTTTCGGGATCAGCGTTAAAAATTACCCTAGAATGCAACAAAACTGTCTTTTTAGTAAGAATTTTTTTTTAATTGACTTGACCCGGAATTGAACCCTCGACCCTCGGATTACTATACAACCTTTGTAACTGATACGATTAGTTTGTGCAATAGCTCATTCGAAAGCTAATTATATAGCAGATTCATACCTAGCAGCAACAGTTTAACAGCTCAATTAATCTATTCATCATTTGTTAGCAATATTTGTTTCCATATTCCATGCTAAAGTGTGTTCTTCTCGGTTAATGCGTTTCCTAAAACGTGCGCTCAAGAAAAGCTCTTTATCCGCTCACCGTAAATGCGACGTAAATTTTACATTCCAAATTTCAAATGCAAATTTTTATTCGAAAAGCTTTGTTCAAATTTATGGGGGTGCGCCAAATTTGTGCCAAATCTTGCTTTAAACCTCCGCGTTCGATTTCTTTTGGCTTTTCGTTTTTAGCAATTACGTTTCTTTCTTCTTTTCTAAAAAAGCAATTAACTGCGTTAATTTTTTAAAAGTTTGAAGCTTTACAGAAAAAAAACTGTCCTCGTTATCCATTTGATGTTGTTTCACATGTTGTTTACAAAAATTTACAAAGGTTACAAAGCTATAAGGCTACAAGGCTACAAAGGTTACAAAGTTACAAAGCTACAGAGCTACAAAGCTACAAAGGTTACATAGTTACAAAGTTACAAGGCTACAAAGCTACAAAGCTATAAATCTACAAAGCTATAAAGCTACAAAGGTTACAAAGTTACAAAGCTACAGAGCTACAAAGCTACAAAGGTTACAAAGTTAAAAAGTTACAAAGCTACAAAGCTATAAAGCTACAAAGCTATAAAGCTACAAAAGCTAACAATAAGTCAAACTTAAAATTTCGAAATCGATATCTTACGATACTCAATATTGCAATTACGATACCCGGTTAGCACAAAAATATTGCAAACTTCTCAATCGATCAATTTTTAGACCAAGACCAACTCGAGGACGAGTCGATGAGGCCGGCGTTGCGCGCTCGCCGAACTCTGATGCACAGATCCTCGCGAAATGATGGTCACATTCCACTGAGAACCATCTCGAATCCCTCCGATTTACCAATGTTCCGATTTGGTTAATGATTTTCTTCTTTCTCTCACCACTTCTTCCTTTTTTTTCCCCCAAGATCTCATGTTGTTGACTCAATTTTTGTAGTCAGTCCGTCAATTTTTGTCAAATTTGCACTTACTCTCTCCTAAAGCTTCTTCTCGTGGACAAAATTCGATCAAAAGAATCTAGAAATTTTCTCGCTCTCAAAATGTATCTAAAATTTCTTCTATTGCCTCCATCTGTGCTCCCGTGGAATAAAGAGTTTCACGCGTTTTCAACGCTTTTGCGAACAAATCACAAACGAATAACATTTCTATAGCATTTCTAAACACTTTAAGAAGAAGAAAATCTAGAAATCGAAAAATTTGGCAAAAGATTACGAGCATAAGAAGTCAAAAATCTAGATATACTGGGTTGATGGAAAAGTCCTTTCCGATTTTTTGGGAGAGTACCTTAAATTTATCCAATTTTTACGTTTTATAGCTCATCCTAAAGCTGAATTCAAGACGGATCGATTGGTAAAAACTGTTTTGAGATATCTCTTTTCTCGTTTTGAGATATCGGCCGCCACAGATCCCCCGCAGACCCGGGTTCGACCCCTCCCCCCGCCCGTAGTGCCACTCAATCTTCTTGACTTTTTAATTTTGCACAACGATACTATACTTGAGACTTCTTAAGATGTTTGAGTTTAGCTCTTAATGCTTTTTGGAAACCAAGAAATGTTCTTTGTATTAGGCTGACCAGAAAGTCTTTCCTTTTGTTCAAATATTGGGTTGGTTGAATCGGAGGAGCACCAGCGACACCTGTTTTTGTATGCATTCAACCGAAAACCCAATGCCGCACAGGCTCATCGATAGATTACTGACGTTTATGGACCCGATTTCGTGACCGAACGAACTACCCGGAATTGGTTTCAACGATTTCGTGAAGGAAATTTCTCACTTCTTGATAGTGCAAGAACGAAGAAACGAAGAAACGAGAAAAACGAAGGAAAATCGCGAAAAGCGGCGGAAAGGCCATTCATCTGAGGGTCGCTGGTTCGACTTCCACCAGTGACAATATTTTTCAAAAAATTTTTGCTAAGATTCTGAAAATGCGTGTCTAGGGGTTATTTTTGACGCCGATCATGAAACACATGTTTTTAGCCTAGGTTTCTGCACGGAAAACTAACGAAACGTGAAAACAGCCATTTTTTGGCTCTGCCGCCCTTTACTAAAATAGCTGTAAAGACTTTTAGAAAAGAGATATCTCAAAACAGTTTTTACCAATCGATCCGTCTTAAATTCAGTTTTAGGATGAGCTATAAAACGTCAAAATTCGACAAACTTAAGGTACTCTCCCAAAAAATCGGAATCGGACTTTTCCACCAACCCAATACAAAGCTATAAAAGCTCTTGAACGCAATTCCAACAGTTTAATGCTATTTTGTGACCAATTTTTGTAGCTTCAACATTGCTTAGATAACAAATTTATTTTGTAAGTGTTTTAAAAATAGTAATCAGATGCATAATTTTGTTGGTATCGATTAATGTAGGATTTCTCGGCGGCATCACCAACCGGGTTCCATTTCGGCTTTTGTGGGTTTTTCGTCTTCTTGCCACTGAAATAATAGTTTACCAAAGGATTCCAAGTTTGGATTCCAGTTCTATTTTTGACTAGTGAAATAGTTTACCGTCAATCTTCTAATAAAAGAGCTTCTATAGGAGCCACCTATAGAAACGTCGCGTAGTCTAAGTTTACACTCAAACAAACGCTCATATCTCGACACCAGTACCTTTATTTCTGCGCGCCTTAGTATCAAATTAAAGTAGAGAAAATGGGTGATTTTTTGAGATATAACACAGATTTTTGGCATTAACCAGCGCTTAGAACAAAAGGATTGAAAAATGATGAAAAATCGGCAGTTTTTGCCACCTTTCAATCATTTTGTTCTTAAGCGCTGGTTAATGCCAAAAAATCTGTGTTATATCTCAAAAAATCAACCATTTTCTCTACTTTAATTTGATATCAAAGCGCGCGCAGAAATAAAAGTACTGGTGTCGAGATATGAGCGTTTGTTTGAGAGTAAACTTAGATACTTCTATAGAGGGCTCTTTTATTAGAATATTTTTAATATTTAGTAACTTCATAACTGTAAGATCAAAATAGATTCAAGATTTCTATAGGAGCGTCGCGTAGTCTAAGTTTACACTCAAACAAAAGCTCATATCTCGACACCAGTACCTTTATTTCTGCGCGCTTTAGTATCAAATTAAAGTAGAGAAAATGGGTAATTTTATGAGATATAACACAGATTTTTAGCATTAATCAGCGCTTAGAACAAAATGATTGAAAAGTGGCAAAAACTGCCGATTTTTTGCTGGTGTACTGGTGCTGAGATATGAGCGTTTATTTGAGAGTAAACTTAGACTACGTGATGCTCCTATAGGGGCTCTTCTATTCAAATATTGACGGTAAGATTCAATCTTGGAATAGTCTTGACTAGGCTCCAAGTTTTGCTCATTTTACTGGTCAAATTATCGGGAAAAAGCCTTGCCAAACCCTTTACAGCAGCTTTTTACCTAAGTGGATTTGTTTTTACTTTAAAACCAATAATAGTTTGACTTTACGATCGATTGATGATTAGAATTTATGACTGACGAGTTACGACTGACGAGTTACGACTTACGATTTACGACTTACGAGTTACGACTTACGATTTACGATTCAACATTTCAATTTGTTCATCCGTTTTATCGGGAGTGGGACAAATGCGAGCTTTTTTTTTGCGCATCTTTGCCCGCACCTTGCCCATTAGCGCAAAACGCGCACTCGCGTTTTAAAAAAGCTCTAAAAAGCTAATATTAACCAATTTCTATTCCAAAAGTTGTTTTTCTAGGTAATTTTAGGGCGTAGAATCGAAATTTTGACATAACAGAGCGTGTGGAACCAGTTTGAAAGACAAAACGGCTAGATCAAATTACAGAAAAATTGTCGATTTTTCTCTTTGTATAACTCCGTCCGTTTGTTTCCACAAGCTCTGATATGTCAAGATTTCGATTCTACGCCCTAAAATTACCTAGAAAAACAACTTTTGGAATAGAAATTGGTTAATATTAGCTTTTTAGAGCCTTTTTTAAAACGTGAAAAAGGTGCGCTAATGGGCTAAGTGCGGAAAAAAAGGTGCGCAAATGTCCGGGTGCGCAAAAAAAGGTCGCATTTGTCCCACTCCCGTTTTATCATTCTTTTATCAGTTCTTTTCATCTCTCATCTCTCACCGTTTCATCTGTAACTGTGGATCGGAGGTTGACCGTCGCAAAGGTGCAACTTGCTTTTTTCTTACCGGTGGTGACAGCTGAAAACTTTCCAATCTCATAAAAGATTTAACTTTTTTATCTTTTGACCTTTAGTAGCACCTGGGAAAATGAAAAAAGTTTGGAAACTATTAAAAAAAACCTGATTAGAACTATGGGATCTTCTCACGGGGCTTGGCCGACGCCTGGAAGTTGGACGGGGTGGGGGATTTCTGTGACGAGGAGGAGTGTGAACCTAAAATAGCACGTGGAAGTAAAATATTGGCAAAGTTGAGTGATTTTGCTCCTAAAATTGTTAAGATAACGAATTGGGGAGTTGTGATTTTCTCCTATTAGGTAGTTAAGAATGAAACCGGAATTCGTAACTGTTGAACTTGTGCAACTTTGAGTTCAACTTTTAAGTCTAACTTTTGAGCGTCTAAGAAAAGTTTCTATCGACTGTTATACATTTTTGAAATGCTTAAATCATGCTTTAAAATCTTGGTCACACAAAGTTTTGATTGCCTTCAGCTTTAGAGTTTTTGCTGAGCTGAGCTAGCTAGGCAAAGCTGAGCTAGGCGCCAAAATGGGATTTTCATCTAAACAGCAATTTTAGCCTCATTTATTGGGAAAAATAAAAGCTTTTTTAACCCAAAGGCAGTCACTAGATCGGCAATTGTTTTTGGCTCATAATATTTTGCTTTTATTCTTCTTTCTCCTTAGAAATTCTCAGCGGCAGGATTAGCCATAGAGGAATACTTTCAGCTGACTCTTTTACTCCACTCACCCCCACTTTGAACCGCTCAAAAACTCTAAAGCTAAAGGCAATCAAAATTTTGTTTGACAAAGATTTTAAAGCATGATTGAAGCATTTTAAAAAGGTAGAACAACCGATAGAAACTTTTCTTAGACGCTCAAAAGTTATATCTCTACGAATTCCGATTTGTTGACATTGTTGTTGTTCATTGTTGACAACTTAATAGGATATGAGTGGGTAACGGTAAAAGATTTGGCGCGTTTGAAACCAAACAAACCAAGCAAACCAAACAAACCAAGCAAGTTAAGCAACCACTTTAACCATATGGCTTTTTAAGAAATCTAATCTAACTTTCAGACTATTCAGGGACTAGAAATTTGAACTTATTCGTGAACATGAAGCTTTTAGTTCTTGAATGATGCAAAGAACTGAATGAATGCAAAGAAAGTACAGTTTTTATTGAGAGCTCTCGTTCTATTCTGATAGAACTCTTCTATTCTGATTCTATTCTGATTCTATTCTGATTCTGATAGCCTTCAAGTTTCCATTTAAAGCTCACCTTAGCCGGACTCTTCGCCGGTGTCCTCCTTCTGGGCGGTGTCTGTTTCCTAATCGGACTCCTCTTCGGCGTTCTCGTGGGACTCCTCTTCGGCGTTCTCGGTGGACTTCTCCTCGCCGAACTCCTTCTTGGTGTCCTCGGCGGTGTCCTGTCCCTCTCCCTGTCCTTCTCCCTTTCCTTCTCCCTTCTCCTCCTCTCCTCCTCTTTCCTTTTCTCATCTTCTTTCTTCCTCTTCGCACTTTCTCCCCTCCTTTTCTCTTCTTGCTCTCTTTCTTTTTTCTTTTCTTGATCCTTTTTCTTCTTCAACTTTTCCCATTCTTTTTCCCGTTCTTTATCGAGTTTCTTCCTGTCTACTTCGTCTCTTTTTCTTCTTCGGTCATAATCGTCTAAACTGTTTCGTCTTGATGAAGGTCGTCGTTCAGAAGAAGCGGCAGTATGGCGACGACCTAAATTCAAGCCCTTGAAAGCAATGAAAGCAGTTATTGAATGCAATGAAAGTCAAGAATTGTTCGGTTAAAATTTCTTAACACATCAAGGTTTTTTCGATTTTTGCGTAAGTGACTCCCCTTCCAGCTCATCTAAAAACATTCACAGACAACGGATTTACTTCAGTTAGGGGTCAAAATGAAGAGAAATGCTTACGGATCATTTATCTGAAAACAGATTAAAGAAATATTGAGTTTCAAGAAAGTTCAAAATGTTTTAGAATGAGAAATTTCCCGGGGATCGGTGATTCGGGGAATGAATTTGCATCAAAACGTTTATAACTCTCTTTAAAGTTAATATTTTTTTTAAACAATTTCCAGATAAATCATCCTCAATTATTTCTCTTTATTTTGACCTTTAACTGAAGTAAATCGGTCGTCTGTGAACGTTTTTAAACGAGCTGAAAGGGAAATCAATTTAAAAAATTAAAAAAGTGTGTTAAATTCAGTAAGGATCTACTTAAGTTCTTAAGTAAATGTGTTAAATTTAGTAACGATCTACTTAAATTCTTAACCGAATCAATCAAACTGGGTTTACTGAAGCCCAGGGTTTACTGAAGCCCAGGGTTTACTGAAGCCCAGGGTTTACTGAAGCCCAGGGTTTACTGAAGCCCAGGGTTTACTAAAGCTTTGTTAATTTTTCCTCTAACAGTTCAACCTATAAGTTTAACATTAAACCAACCCTCGTCTGCAGACCGTGACCTTTTCCTCGTTGACGGCTTCCTATGCACTTTAGCACTATCATTGAAGCTGACTCGTCCACTTCCTCGATGATCTCTTGGCGGAGTTCTGGCTCGTGGACTTGGTGGTGTGCGGATTTCTCTTCTCGGTGGTGGATCGAATTGACGACCACCTCGACCAGATCCACCTCGATGCACCGGATTTACCGCTGAAAGTCAAAGCTTAAGCTGAATCTTATTTTCAATGTTAACTATCGAAATCTGCAATGGTTTAGCAAAATAAGATAAGGTTTATCAAAATTCATAGCTTTTACTTTCATAGGTTTTTCATAATTCATAGAAATAACTAACGAATGATCTCCGGCTCTCGTGGGGAAATTTCGGCGAAAGCTTCCGGGAGCTTGGACGGTGATGGAGCATCGATGTCACCTTGAATCTGGATTCGGTGAAAGTACGCCTTCCGGAGCTCTGGAATTTACTTTTTAATTGTTTTGATTTCGATCTATCTTTAATTTGTGATTATGGGATGATCAGAAAGTTCCCGCACGCTTTACAAAAGAAGCTCTATTTTTGAGCTAAAGCCCAGGTCGAAATTCGACTTACTAAATAGTACTTTAGCTTACTAAATAGTACTTTAGCTGACTATATCGTACGCTGAAATTCTGGGGAACATTTCTACACCTCGTTAGTGAAAAACCTCGATAACAAATAGACTTTTCCGGTTGCCAATGAAAAAAATCGTGCATTTTAATCTCGAGAACAAAAATTAGGTTTTTAAGTCACCTTAAAAATCTAATTTTTGCTACTAAAGTATTGCTGGTTTATGAGATTTTTGCACACACCATTCTCTAATATTCTCTCGGACAAAGTTAGAATGTATCTTCTGCTTAAAATCGCTAAATTTCTACATTTATTTAGATGCTTCTCAGGTTCTAATTGACTTACGATTGACTACGTTCTTCTAAAATCAACTTTTCTTGAATAAATTGATGCGTAGATTCGAAATAACGCAGTGGGAAATTTCTTTTTCAAAAACTGCTACAGTTTCATCTGTAGAAAGCCTCGTTAGTGATCGAAAGTTTAGGTTACTAACAAGATTTAGGTTACGGTTTAGTTAACTTGTTACTCATAGCAAAAATTGTATGAAAAAGAATTTTCTGATAAACTCTAGTATTTAACGTTGAATCTAGAATTGTTCTAAAGTTCTCTAGTTCTCTAGTTCTCAGTTCTCTAGTTCTCAAATTCTAAAGTCTTCTCTCAACAAGTCACTTGGAATTCCCAAGTGGCCAACAGCAGTAAATCCCTGTTATGACAGACTTGAGTGTTAGTTATCAAATTGCAGAAATTTTGCACTGAAACTAGAATAAAGAGCAATGAATTTATTGGTTTAAAAATATCTAGAGAAGTGAAAGTTGTCGGATTTCAATTCAGAAGTGGGAAAATAGAAAGAAGAGAGCCGAAACATTCAATCAGACCAGTTTTATTAAGCATGCAAGCAAGGCATTCATGGCTTAAAACATCGTTGGGTGAATCCTAGCGAGTTGCCAAAGCCGGATCACTTTGGTTTCTCGAGGGCGCAAGATCAAAGGCTTAAAATTGGTTTCCGGAAAAGGTTAGGCAAGGGTACTATCAAAGTGTTCACTAACGAGGTTTGACTGTACCAAATGTAAATCTAAAGAAGTAGAATTACTTTCGAAAGTTGTACAGTAATTTTATTAACCTATGTTGATTACTCAACTCATAACAAAACCCAATCACACTGTTTTGAAATCACTAATTAGTGAAAATCACTGTGTGAAAAATATTCTCCAAAAAGAGCATTTTTTAAGCTTTTCTTTTTAGAGTAAATTGGGTTAAAACCTCGATAAAAAAAAAGAAACCGATTTTTTGAGATCCTTTCAGTTTTTTGTTATCAAGCTTTGACTATATTTTTTAATTTCAATCACTTTTTCAAAACATTATCATCGATTGTTGAAATGAAAACTGAAAAAAGTGCCTAGCAACGATTTCAACACGACATCAAGTCTCATTGTCTCAAGTCTTATCCCGTTTTTGTGTGCTTTAGAAGAGAATGATGAAAAGACAAAGTTCAAAAGTTTCTTTTGACCTGTCTTCGCACTGAGGTGTTCCTATTTGCGCAGATCACAACCTGCTTCCACATTTCTCTATCCCTTGTCATCCAGTGTTTCCTATCTTGGTTGTTCCTGGTTCGAAGTCTTCGACTTGCTTGTGCTGGCGGTGGTTGCACTCTAGCCATCCTTTCTCTGACCGTCGCTGCCACTCTTGTGCTTCACCTCGTTGCTGGTCTTCCGATGGGCCTCTTCTGGTCTCCTGGTAGCCACTCCGTAACGTCCATCTGTCGTCTGTTCTTCTGGCTACGTGGCTGGCCCATCTGAGTCTTTCTCTCTCGATCACTTCCACTGGATCTCTGAGTCCCGAGAGCTGGCGCATATCCGTACTTCTTAGGTACGCGTCTTCGCGTCGAGCTGCGTCTTCCTATTGTGTCCGAGGAGGTTCCTTTCAAGGGCCCGATGCGTCGTTCTCAGGGCTCGTTCGGTGGTCTGTGTCGTGGCCCAGGTCTGTGTCAAGGCCCAGGTCTGTGTCGTGGCCCAGGTCTGTGTCATGGCCCAGGTCTGTGTCGTGGCCCAGGTCTGTGTCATGGCCCAGGTCTGTGTCGTGGCCCAGGTCTGTGTCATGGCCCAGGTCTGTGTCGTGGCCCAGGTCTCTGCCCCGTAGCAGAGTGCCGGGAGGACGGTGCTATTCAAAAGTAAAAAGCATAAAACGTTACTGATCTAGGTAAAAATACCTAAAGTATATCTGAAGTAACAAGTCTTAAACCTAAAGAGGTCGAATTACTTTCGAAAATTGTACAGTATATTTTATTAACCTAAGTTGATTACTCAACTCATAACAAAACCCAATAAATTTACCTCGATTTGATCCATTTGAGTGCCTCGGCATCACTCGGTTGCCCCCGAAAAAAGGAAAAACAAATGACGGTCTTAAAAAATTCAAAGCACCTAAAGGAAAAAGTCGAGAAAAACTTGCCTTATTGTGAATTCTACGCCTTTCTTGGTGGTGTTCTTTGCCTTTTTTTTCCCTTTCTTTGTCCTTCTTTTGTCTCTTCTTTTGTCTTTTCTCTTTCGAATCATAATTCAAAAACATTTTTAAGGATTGATATTTGGGGATTCGGGAAACTGAATCGGTCAAGACTCTTTGAGCTTTGAATTGGTATAAATGCGATTTAAATTATACAACTTTACAAGTATGCAATTTTACAAGTATACAACTTTTCAAAAATGTCACTTAACTGCAAATCCTTTCGGCCAGAAAATTTGAGATTAAGCGATGTTCTTTATCAGTAATCAGCCGAAAAACCTGTGCTTTGCCTGTGCCAGGGTTTGGGGAGCATGCTTGAATACGGCTCACACGGCCCACATGTGGTCCGGTTCGACCCTCCGTAGTGCCATTCAATTTCGACTTTTTATTTTAAATGACCCAACTAGATTATAGTTGGACCATTTAAAGCCCAATTACAGGCCATTTAAAGGCCATCTAAAAGCCATTTAAAGGCCATTTGAGACGTTTAAACAAATTTCAGTTTTTTTGATTCAAAGATGGCTGAGCAAAAGCCCTTAGGACGGACGGACAGACAATACTTTTTTATATATAGTAGATCTCTTTGGTGAAGTCAAGAAACAGAAAGTTTTGACAAATTTTGAATGAGCACGCTGAACAGTGCAAATCAACCACTTCAACTAACTGAAACTGCTGTTTTTCTTGTATTCATTGTTAGATATTACTCAACTCCCACATTATGGAAATAAAGGGATAAAGATAAAGATTGAATTGAATGAAAGGGATAAAGGTAACGATTGAATTTAAAGCCCATTTCAGAGTTGCATTTTGATGTATTGTATTGTAATCAAATGTATTGTATTGATGTATTGTAATCAAAAGTCTATAGATCATTCTAAGATAGTATAGAGTGTTCAATTACTAGAAACCAGGAGATTACTAGGCTTATTGAGAGCTCATTTTGTGCAAGTTTAATGCTAAAAAGGAAACACACTTATCAATAAACCCAACGTTAACAACTTTCAGTTACTATTTTCAAAATTATTGCCTTTTACTTGCCCAGAAACACTTGTGGAAAGCGTCTACTGTGGCACGGAGGTCGGATAAATTGAGTTTGTCACAAACTTTCGTTAAGCTTTCTTGGAAGAATTAAAACTGAACTTTTGAGAGAACTGAAATAACTTCCTAACATTTTTAATGTCTCGTAGATTCGAAAACTGTTAAATAGTCAAGACGTTCTCATTATTAACCCATTCGAAACTTCTGCATCGAATAATCGCTGCAGCAAAAACTCAGGAACGGACCGCTGCAGCGATTATTCGCTGCAGCGCTAATTGAGCTATTTTCATTCAATTAATTGGTTTTTTTTGCTGTTTTTCAGCATTACATGTATATTCCAATTGTAACAGATCTACAAATTACGTGGGCAAAAAAGATGTGTCATATTTACCCGGAATCAATGCAGCCTCTGGTTTTGCATGTGAAATGTTCCATAATAGCTCTAATCCTATAAAGCCGATCTCCTGCAGAATCCAGTTCATTATCACAAAAGCGCAGGTTTCGAAGAATAGATTCAAATTTTGCTCTTGACGTAGTGTGGGAAAATCCTCCTAATCCAGGCCTGCTACTCCAGTAGTCACGAATCCTCGGTAATTTGATGATTCCCATTTGAAGATACAGAGCCAGGAAGAGCTTAAAAGATTTTGCATCGAAATCCTGCCAGTTTGTTTTCTTTTTTTCATGTTTATTAGATTCGCCTACTAACATATTGATTAATTTGTCGTCGATAAAATAAGAATAATAATCGATAGGATTTTGAAAAGTACTGAAGTCAAATCCAAATCGTTCTTCATCAAAAATAAATGGTGTAGGAGACCCTCTTAAATCTTGCCAACCATCTGGATAAACTGCTTCGGAGTCAAAAACGTCAAAAAAGGGCTTGGTCCGCAGACGAAAAAAGAAAAAAACGCTTTCGTTTGGGTTAAACAAGGAACAATGAGATCTAACTCCTTCTGGTGAAATTTGGTGATCGAGTTCGATTTTTGGAATATCAAATTTAGTAAACTGTAAAAGTAATCTAGAAAATCGAGCTTTTTCCAACTTCTATGCAGTGACGATTTTCTTGACGATTTTTTCATAAACCAATTTTGAGAGCTCTAAACGACCTGCGAGCTCAAAAGTTCCCATACAACATTGACACAAAGGTTTGAAGTCGTTCCGTTTTTAGGCCCAACAGAAATTTTTTTGAAAAATAGTTTACATATTCGAAATCTAGATGAAATTTCGGTCTAGAAAAGATTTTTTTGCAAAAAACAGAATCTTCTCATCGAGTAAGCAAACCTATTTTGTTGAAACAACAGTTAAAACGTGAAATCCGTTTACGATTCGCTAACTCTTTAGAGCTATAAGTTTAGCATTTCACCTTCAATCAATCTGAAAAGTCTAGAAAGAGTTTAAATTGGTTTGGTTGGTTCCATTTAGCTACAGATTTGGTTTCATTTAGCTTCAGATTCGGTTTCATTTAGGTACAGAATTGGTTTCATTTAGGTACAGATTTGGTTCCATGTAGCTTCAGATTTGGTTCCATTTGGCTTCAGATTGGGTCCCATTCAGGTACAGATTTGGTTCCATTTAGCTTCAGATTTGGTTCCATTTAGGTAGGGATTGATTTAAAGAGTTTAAAAAATAGAATTCCTTTTGATTGACTACGTTTAATTAGAAATTTCAGAAAATTCAGATGGTTTTTGAGAGACACACAAGCGACAAGGCATTTAGGTTGATTCTGGTGATAGATTGTCAATTAAAAGACTTGATCTTTACTTGCAAAGCCTTGAATTTGACACAAACTCGATAATTACAAACATTTCAGAAGAATATTTAACGTTGGATAGTTTTTCGTTATCTTAAGCTGAATTTGACGACTGAAGAACAATGTGGCTCTGAACTTTTGTGTCACCTTGTAAAGATTGAACACCCTGTAGTAAGCTTTTTACTTTATTCAAGAATTCTTCTCAGAAAATTATTTACAAAACAATTCTCGTCACAACTCGCGAAGGCACAACCAGCAATTTTTGGAAATAGAAATTTTAGAATAGAAATTTGTTCCACGAAAAACCACAAAAAGAAAAGAAACCAGTGACAGAACGACAAGACTTTGGAAAAATTCGTACCGGATTGAGGAGAAAGATTAAGTAGCTCTCAAATGGAAATATTCTGAAGCTTTTGTCATCAAGAATGGATCAAGAATGAAAATGAGTGAAAAAAAAAAGTTGTACCTCAAAAACTTTAAATAAGTCCTTCAATATTTGGTGGAGTGAGATGGGGTAAATCTTTTGCGTGATGCTCCTCTTCCCATTGTGGCCGATATTCGCCGTGGTTCTTTCGCCGGTCTTTCATGTAACGCATACCAACAAATATGGCGATTGCTATCAATGCGAAGAGTACCTGAAATGGGAAAACGTTCATAGGTGCATAGATTCTTCCAAGCTGACGCTGGGAATGCGAAATAGAGCCGGTGCCAGGATTCGAACTAGACATCGGCGCTACAAACTAGAAAGTCAAGCTAAAAACTACACAATTAGACTATAAACTACAAGATCAGACTATAAACTACAAAATTAGACTATAAACTACAAGAACAGGCTATAAACTACAAAATTAGACTATAAACTACAAGATTAGACTATAAACTACAAAATTAGACTATAAACTACAAGATTAGACTATAAACTACAAGATTAGACTATAAACTACATGATTAGACTACAAACGCTTGTAGAAACGCGTAGAATGGCTATTTTTGCAAACTGTTTTGATCAAAACATCGAGCCATTTTGGGCTTTCGAATGACACAAAGATCAGGTCAATCCACCATCTCCGCGCTGAAATACAACGTTTTTTTTCCAATCGTAGCCCTATCCAATTGCTATAAATATCACGTTCTCAAAGCAGAGACTGTGAATTGATCTGATCTTTGTATCATTCAAAAGCCCAAAGCTGGCTCGATTTTTTGGTAAAACCAGTTTTTAAAAATAGCCATTCTACGCGTTTCTACAAGCGTTTTTAGTCTAATCTTGTAGGCATGTTAACTCCGTCCCTTATTTGGTCCGTTTGCCGTTGTCAATCTACGAATTTTGTTCGTATCTTAGCCGGGTTTGTTTGAAAAACGTTGAATTTACTTTCATTCGATTCGAAATCAAATTTTCTATCGAATGAAAGTAAATTCAACGTTTCTCAAAGAAACCCGGCTAAGATACGAGCAAAATTCGTAGATTGCCAACGGCAAACGGACCGAAAAAAGGGCGGAGTTAACATGGCTGCTTATATAGAGCAATACTTCAAAAGTATAGTGGTGAGTAAACTTGCTAAAATATATTTATAGTTGAAGCCATTAGTAAATAAAACAATTGTTGATTATCTGCCCGCGATCTCTCGCTTCTTTTCTCTTTCCCCTTATATTTTCTCTTTCTTCTCTGGCAAAAAGATATCGGATAGCTCAGTGATTAGAGCATCGGAAAGGAAAGGAAAGCAAGGGGTCAAAGGTTCAATCCCCTCTCCGGAAATCTTTCGTTGCCATTCCCTACTTGACTTTATCGTCAATGTTAATGCTTTATCGCCCGTTTGGCTATAACATCGTATTCAGATGGAAAAGTTTTAACTAAAGTTGCTAATCTCAACTTAGAAATAGTTGCTTAGACTTAGAAATAGACTGCTTAGTCTTCTTGTTGTTTACTGTTCTTTTAACATTCCATAACTTGATTTACAATAAAACTAACCAAGATCCCAATGACAATCCCCGCGATGGCTCCTCCTCCAAGCCCTCCTCCACTTTTGTCTGCTTTAGTTGTTGTCTCAGCTGCAGCAAATACACGTGATAATTCCGTTGTTATCGATGTCAATGCGCTTGTAGCGGATGAAGTCTAAACTCTCAATTTCAAAAGTTTCAATTTCAATTTCAAAAGTTTCACTGACACTTTAACACAGTTGTTGTTGTCTGATCTGTCTGATTAACACACTTTAACACACACACTCACCGCAGTTGTTGTTGTCTGATCGGCGACAACGTTTGATCTGGCGATTGTACTAAAATGTTTAAAATGTTGTTTAAAATCCGCAAAACATTTAAAAGATGTAAAAACTTAAATTCTTGTAATTCTTTGGTTTTTGCTTACCTCAAAGTACTCGTGGCATTGTCCGCCATTTTAAAAAAGTGACTGAAGAGGGATTTGAGCACAGGTGGAGCCTCCTCAGTGGCCTAAATCAAATTTGATTTCAAAACGAAAACACTGCTTTTCAAAACGCTCAAATATCAAATCTATATCGTAAATCTTTGGCAAAGTTTATAAGTTTGTAGTTTATATTTAAGTTTATACTAAAGTTTATACTAAAGTTTATACTAAAGTTTATATTAAAGTTTATACTAAAGTTTATACTAAAGTTTATACTAAAGTTTATATTAAAGTTTATACTAAAGTTTTTATTAAACTTTATACTAAATTCTTGTGAATTCGCGCACCTGATATGGACAAACACAGTATAAATCTCGTCCAGTTGTTGAGCGACACCCGGATAGAATTGGGGCAGTTGTTCGAGCTAAAAATGATGATGCAAAATAATGCGAAATTCCAAAATGTCTAGAATTTGAAAATTTCTGCAAACAAATGAAAGTGATTGATTAGAGCCTTGAATTTTGATTGGATCTTTGCCAGGAAAGAGTGGAAAGAAGGAATCAAAGAATTTGTCTACCAAAAAATCCAAAAATGCAACCAAGTCTCCGAAATTTTTCCTGAAATCGATGTGTGTACTGGGAGGAAAATCATGCCCGAAAAGTACCCAATTGAGGCTTTTAGTTTGAATGAGTTGAAGAATTGAACAGTGTCCTACAACTGATCAGAATTTAGAATCGGCATCTACAGTTTTCAGGGTTGTTAAGCTCAACTTGAGGTCGAACTCCTCAATTACCCCGTCTAATTCTCTTCGGTGCAATTTTTGCCATCTTTTTATTGAGCAATTCTTTCTTTACTTTTCGATTAAAGCAGAAAATGGCCGTTTCTCCTTATGTTTCAATTTGTCGGCCACCTTTTTAAACGCTTACAATTTACACATTGAAGTAAGGTTTAAATAAGTTGAAGAATTGAACAGTGTTCTATAACTGATCAGAATTTAGAATCAGAATCTACACTTTTAACCAAACAGTTTTCAGGGTTGTTATGCTAAACTTGAGGTCGAATTCCAATAAGCATTTACACATTTTGGATGATTCTAATCAGTAAACAATTAGTTCAAAAATAGAAAAACATTGTTGAAATCTATTTAAATAGCAAAATAACTTGCTATTTGACAATCAAGGAGCTTTGAATAGAATAGAACTTTAGAATAGAACTAGAGCTTTGAGCTTTGAGAGTCAAGGAGCTTTGAGAGAGGTTTGAACGAAAACTTGAACTAGACGATATTCGATTGTCCGATTTAAATAGATTTCAACAATGTTTTTCTATTTTTGAACTAATTGTTTACTGATTAGAATCATCCAAAATGTGTAAATGCTTATTGGAAATTGGAATTCGACCTCAAGTTTAGCATAAAAACCCTGAAAACTGTAGATGCCGATTCTAAATTCTGATCAGTTAACTGTTCACTGTTCACTGTTCAATTCTTCAACTCATTCAAACTAAAAGCCTCAATTGGGTACTTTTCGGGCATGATTTTCCTCCCAGTACACACATCGATTTCAGGAAAAATTTCGGAGGCTTGATATTTTGATATTTTGATGAAAAATTTGAATTTGAATCGCTGAATTTAGCTGAACAAAATCTTGTTTTTCTACAAGTAGATCAAGTAGAATTCTTAATTTATAAGTCAAAGTGTAGCGAATTCAAAGTCGCGTTTAAAGAAACGCGAAAGGCAAGCTAAAAATGCAAGCTGAAAAGGCAAGCTAAAAATGCACGCAAGAATTTGAAAGCAAAACAAAAACAGAACGAGAATGTTGAAACGATAAAAACGATTCATTGAACTAGAGTTTGATCCATAAACATTTCTGAAACCGTTCTAGAAATAGAAAGTGAGGTGTTATGGTGGTCCATGCATGGGTAGACCGGGTAACAGCAAACACGGGGGTTTCCTCTGTTCGCTCTTCCCCTCCCCAACCCAACCCTGTTCCCTTCCATCCATTCTCCACCTTTTTCTTCGACAAGTCTCCAATAGTGGGCCAGTGGAAGAGTGGAAGAAATTCTATCTCCCCCAGCCTAAGCACTGCCTTTTTATGCACCCCTCTTTGCCGAAAACCCCCATTTTCCACCTGACACGCAATTGAAACAACATCAAGATATGAGGATATTGAGAGTATAGTAATGTTGGAGGAAATGGCAAATAGAATGGACAAATGGACAAAAAAATGAATGGTTTCCGAATGTAAACAGAGGTTTAAACGAAATAAACCTTACAAGAAGTGACAATTGAAATCGATTTCACAAAACTGGTACGTTATTGTTGGCTATTGGATTGAACTTTTGTGCAATTGAGTTCAAGATTTCGATAACAGAGATAGATTTCCGTTTTTACGGACAAGCGACTGGCAACGAGACTCTTCGTTTTCTGACTGTGAAAAGAATTTGTTATAGACTATATTATTGTTATAATAAACAATCAAATGAATGAAAATCTTATAGAAAAGAGATGAAGAGTTTAAAGATCCTGAATTGGTTCCGATCGGCCCCGAATCAGCCCCGAATCGGCTCCTGATCGGCCCCGAATCGGCTCCCTGATCGGCCCCGAATCGGCCCCCGAATCGGCCCCGAATCGGCCCCTGATTGGCCCCGAATCGGCCCCTGATCGGCCCCGAATCGGGCCCGAATGAAAATGTTCCAAGTTTCAAGTCTTTGAAAAGGCTCAACTTCATCAAAATAGTCTTTTTGAGTGCGCTTTTATAAATTTAGACTAAGTTGATATAATAAAAAATCAAATGGTTCAGGGAATCTTATAGAAAAGGGACGAAGAGTTTAAAGATCCTGAATTGGCCCCGATCGGCCCCGAATCAGCCCCTGGTCGGCCCCGAATCGGCCCCTGATTGGCCCCGAATCAGTCCCTGATCCGCCCCGAATCAGCCCCTGGTCGGCCCCGAATCAGCCCCTGATTGGCCTCGAATCAGTCCCTGATCGGCCCCGAATCAGCCCCGAATGAAAATGTTCCAAGTTCCGAGTCTTCGCAAAGGCTCAACTTCATCAAAATAGTCTTTTTGAGTGCGCTTTTATTAATTTTAGACTTATAAACAATCAAATGATTCAGGGAATCTTATAAAAAGATATGAAGAGTTTAAAGATCCCGAATTGGTCTCGAATGATATTAAATCTGTAAGTCTAAAGCTCGCTATTTGGCATGGCTCTATTTAAAGTTCCCAGATTCACCGATTGACTTACGGTTTGTTTTATCAAAAAGCTCTATGAATTCTCGACAAGATTTCCTTTTGGAGTTTGCGAAAGCCTTTTGTTTTTGGGATTGGGGAGAGACGAGAAGTAAAATAGTCAAGAATGGCAAATTCATACAATTCTACGATCATAGATCATACGATTTGGATACTTTCGTCTAAAGAAACTTATTTTAGTGTCAATAGATAAAACAAGAGCATAAAAAGTTAGGCTTATAGCTGAATTTTCAGATCAATCTGTTCAATCTATCTATGCCAACTTTACGAATTTAAAAAAATGAGAATTTTTCCGCAAGTTTACTTCCAATAGGCTGAAATATGCTAGAAAATGACAATAGCTAAACGATAAACATTTCTAATAAAGGAAAATGTAAGTCAATTGGTGAATTTTGGAGTTTTAAACAGAACTTACAAACTTTCATGCTTACAGATCCAATAAAAATGTGATTGTTAAAGAAAACTTCACGATATTTTCAATCTAATTGTTATTTTGTTTTAAACTGAAACAAAATCAAATCAAAAAGAATCATGAAATCAAAAAGAATGTAAAGAAAAGACTATTCTAATCTATAGAGTTTAGGCTTAAAAAGAATAGTATTAGACTCTCTCAATTATTCATTTGTTCTGTTTAAAACTCCAAAATTCACCAATTGACTTACATTTTCCTTTATTAGAAATGTTTATCGTTTAGCTATTGTCATTTTTAGCATATTTCAGCCTATTTTTCCTAGGAAAAACAAAATCAAAATCAAACAAAATGATTTTTCTGAAGTGAAACTTGTTTTAGAGGACTTCTTATTATTCTATCTTCTTATTATTACTATTTTCAATGTATTTCTTTCAAGTTTTAACGTTGTACTTAAAGTTTAAAGTTAAAGGACACAAATTTTGAGCCAATGAATAATTGAGAGAGTCTAATTTTGCTAAATAAAACCAAGGCTTAGCTTATAAACCTTATAATAAAGCTTATAAACCTAATAGCCTTGATTTAATGTAAAAAATCCAATTCATTAGCGTTTGATTAAGCATTCTTCAAAGATTTAGAATAAGAAAAGCGTTGCTAGGCAACGTCAAACGAAATGGGGAATCCTAAAGAAGATTTATGGGGAAAAAGACAAAAACTGGCAAACCTTGAAATGAAATTCAAATGAATAGAGTAACAATAACGGAAAGAGTTTCTTACAGTACAAATCAATCCTCTTTTCACACCTGAAACCATTTTGAGGAGGTCAGTCAGTCTTTAGACGTTTTTCCCCACTCTCAAAAGGATTATTGTGAGAAATCCGATTTGTTTGAGGTCGGAGGACAAAGAATGAAAAAGAGAAAAGTCACTGACGAGTTTTCGGTGATAATTATTTGAAAATTGAAAGAGTATTGAAAAATTTTATAAGTATAAAAATGTTTGACTGGTCATAGACTTACAGTGAAATCTCGGTTATGTTCAATTATCTCAGTTAGGAATAAATCTAGCACCAAAGGACTGGCACTGGCACCAATCTAGCACTGGTACTTTTCGGTTACACCCCCGGCCACCTCCGCATTTCGGTTATACCTCCGCCACTTCAAAATTTTTAAAAACGGTACTATGCGGTTAGCGCCCCTGATGCATCAATGCGTGTATTTGTGAATTTAGCCTAGCCTGATGTGAATTTGGCAGAGGTTTTTGACGTTAAAGACCTCTGCCCGTTCGCATGCGATGATCTTCACCTAAAAAGTAAGTATGTACGTTATAAGTAGCAGTAAATGCGTGATGGATCAACTATAGTATCGGGGGGAGGGCAAATCTGTTTCTCTGTAAATCGGTAACTGATCAGTAACTAAATTCACAACAGTCTGGATGAATTTAGCCTAGCCTGATGTGAGTTTAAAAAAGAAATTAATCGTTTTCATCTATAAATAACAGAAATATGAGCCTAGAAAAAAGGATGAGTGATTTCTGGTCACTCTGAGCCTGAGCCTGAGCCCTCGCACTAAGTCCAAGCCTAAGCCTAAGCCAAGCCTGAGTCTGAGCCTAAGCCAAGCCTAAGCCTGAGCCAAGCCTAAGACTAAGCCTAAGCCAAGCCTAAGCCTAAGCCTAAGCCTAAGCCAAGCCTAAGCCTGAGCCAAGCCTGAGCCTGAGCCTGAGCCTGTAGACTTGATTTTTCAAAGTGTACTCTGATAATAAGCTCAAAAC